TTCCTGAGCTAGTTTTTGTAAAATGCATATCCATCCTAATTGTTGATATTTGGTCCCCTGTAGGACCCATCCTTTTGGGATTTGTTGATGTTTACGTCCATGCTGGAGCACGTTTGGTGGGGCCACTTCCATATTAGGGGCTGGATGGAGCCGACGACAAAGCCAGTAGCGGGGTGGAGTGAGGGAGGTACCGAGGAGGAGGACGGAGTAGGTTTTTGGGAAGACACGACTGTCGCTTTTTGGAGAAAAAGTCGTGTAGTGACGAGTGATAGCCTAGTCTGTTTTTTGTTAAGGCTAGTAGGTCATAGTATTTAGATTGGTTGGAGTAATTGAGTAGTCTCCCCGTGTTTTTGAACCCACCTTTGTATCACCCTTATTGTTATATGAGAAGGAAGCTATTTTCATAACTTGTGTGTCCTTGCATTTCTATGTATCTATGTTTCTATATCACATTCATATTATAAATGCTAACCTTTGGTAAGAATCATCTTCCGCCTATGAATAATCTGATGACTAACGAGGATTAGAGGATTCCTCTTGAAAGGAGCGTACTTGGGACACTACACTTTCATGGTCGCTTCGCAAGAAGAGGATGAGCCGAGGAATCCAAATGAGGCTCTCACGTGCCATAATAAGGAAAAACGGATGCAAGTAATGGAAGAAGAAATAGAGTCAATAAAATCAAATCAAGTTTAGGAATTGGTTGATTTTCCAAAAGGATGCAAAGTCACTGGGAACAAATGAGTTCTCAAAATAAATCGTAAAACTGATGGCTCAATTGAAAGATATAAGGCTCGCATTGTGATAAAAGGGTATAATCAAAAGGAATGAATTGATTATGAAGAAATCTTTTCTCCTATGGTGAGATTTACATTCGCCTTATTATGGCAATAGTGACAAGTATGGATCTAGAATTACATCAAATGGATGTAAAGACAGCTTTTCTAAATAGAGAGTTAAAAGAAAAAATTCATTTGGAACAACCAGTTGGCTTCATTGCGAAAGGCCAATAACAAAAGGTATGTCGATTTTTAAGATCGATATATGGCCTTAAGCAGTCTTTGAGACAACGGTATATACGTTTTCACAATGCCATAATGCGATATGGTTTTACAATAATTGATGATTGTATATATATCAAAAGATCTAAAGATCAATTTGTGATCTTATCATTATATATGGATGATATATTAATTGCCGGAAGCAATATGAAACTTGTTTATACTGTTAAGAATCGGTTATCTTCCAATTTTGAAATGAAAGATATGGATGAAGTTGTATATATTATTGGAGTTAAGATTTCAAGGAATCCTTCAAAGAGATCATTGTCTCTTTCGCAAGAGACGTATATAAACAAAATCCTTGAACGATTTCGTATGCAAGACTACAAACCCATAGATATTACTATTGCAAAAGGTGAAGGATTGAGCCATAGCCTGTGTCCTAAGACTCCACAAGAACAAGAACAAATGAAACGTGTTCCTTATGTTAGTGCTGTTGAAAGCTTAATTTACGTTATGATGTGTACAAAACCTGACATATGCGTTGCAGTTAGAATGTAAGTAGATACCAATCCAATCCAGGTCAAGTACATTAGACAGCCATCAAAAGAATCTTGAGGTATCTAAAGGGTGCTGCTGATTATTCACCGAGTTATCAAGAAAAGGATCTGCGGCTTGAAGACTATTCAAACGCTGACTGGAGAGGAGATTTAAAAGAAAGGAAATCTACTTCTGGATTTGTGTTCTTGCTAAATAATGGCACTATATCTTAGAGCAGTAAGAAACAATTATGTATAGCCTTATCCACGATGGAAGTCGAATTCGTGGCACTATCAGCAGCAGTACAAGAGGGTGTTTGACTTAAAAGATTTTTGAATCACTTTGGTGTTACTGAGAATGCTGCACACTCATTGTTGGTTAATTTTGATAGCCAAGTAGCGATAGCTTATACCAAGGATCCCAAATTTCATTACAAGACCAAACATATAAATACCAAGTATAACTTTGTCAAGGATATGGTTGCACGAAGGGATATGAACATTCAGTACATACCTATGTAAAGAATGATAGCAAATCCCATGACGAAACCAATCCTTAAAGATGTTTTCCTTGGTCATGTAAAATCTCTGGGACTGCGTAGAAATCGATGTACTTGACATTTGTATTTCCCTGGAAGTTCACATTCAATGATATTTTTCCTATCATTATTAATGCCTATGAGTTTATTTGACATATATACATATGCTTAGTGCATTATATTAAGAAAGTATGTCGAACAGATGAGAGATTAACCCATTCACATGGGTAATCACCTCTATTTACTATGTGACAAATAAGGATGAGACAATTTTAAGCTTATTATCTAGGTGATAATTGAGAGCTCAAGTTTAAAATATAGATGTCGCCTTAACATAATGTTAAGATGAGGTTATAATATTTATTAGGAAAAATTTCAAAAAGAGGACCGAAGTGGAGTTATTTTCTCAAATAAATGCCTGAAATGGATATTATCTCAAATAAGGGCCTGAAGTGGCTAAATTATTTCAAATAAAGATTTGAAGTGGCCAAATCGTCTCAAATAAGGACCTTTGGCCGACCGGTGACTATTCCGTTTTCGGAAAAGGGGTATTTTAGTCAAAAAAAATTATAAGTATATTTGTTTGATTTTTTTTTTACTTTCTTTTTCTTTTTATTTTCCTTTTTATTTTTTCTTTTTCCTTTTTTCTTCTTCCCTCCCTTGCTGTCATTGAGGTCGCCGGCCTCAGGCAAGGGCCGCCCTCGCCAGCGTCGGGCGAGGGCGAGGTGAGGCGACCCTTGCCCGATGCTGGCGAGGGCGGCCGGAGGGAAGAGAGGGAAAAAAAAAGAAAAGGAAAAGAAAAAACAGAAAAAGGAAAAAAGAAAAAAAAATTCAAAAAAGTAAAAGACGAAAATACCCTTTGACCGATAAGGTTAGGTCCTTATTTGGAACAAGATTCACTTTAGGTCCTTATTTGAGACAAAATTCACTTCGTGACCTTATTTGAGAAAATAAGGGCACTTCATGCCTCATTTGAGACAATGTCCAATTCGGGGCCTTATTTGAAAAAATGACTCAAATTCGAGCCCCTTTTTGGAATTTTTCCCATTTATTATGTCCGAAAGTAAAATAACTCACATATTTTACTTTATGTCTTTGATGCCAGATGTGAGTTCTGATATATTCTTTAAAAAGAGTAGATTTGTCAACTCAAGTTAGACATTGAGAATGTCTAAACTATTATCTGTACGGTATTAAGTATAAAGACATACGCTCCATGGGAAAGGAAAAAATACTGTAATATGTATTTCATATTACGGATGCATGAATCGACCAATAAGAGATGGCAAAAGTTTTGATCTCAACTTTTAAGCTGTGTGAGACTCTTGAGGATGAGTGTTCCTCAATTAGGTGCCCTCACGACTCTTACTTATTCTCAAAATTTTTGTTCAGTGTTTGCTCCCTTAGAATGTCGCCAATAATCATAGATGATTCGATCTAATATAACATTACTAGAAAAACAAATTGAATAGAGATTGAGAGATTTAAAGAAAGAGGAAGATCAATTTGTTATTAATGTCACATTTTATTTTTGTATTCACAGGTTGACCAATTATGATTATTTATGTTTAATCGTAATTGTGAATACAATATATATAACATACTTAAAGAGATCAAGAGATATATAAATGTGGCTGATTGATCTAGGGTATAGCATACTACATCTACTTTAACTGATAATATCTAATTTGAGTTGCTAGATATTCCCAATAAAGGTATGGCAACGAACTCTCAAAGTATGCTGATTGCAGAAATTATATGTTAATATGAATTTTGCAGAGAAGAGAGAGTTACATTTGCCCATCCCATGATGGGCAAGTGGGAGATGATAGGTTTATGGGCCACCCTTGTTGGGCAAATAAGCCCATATCCATCAAAAGTAACTGCAAAGGGCAATTACTTGTTTTTGTGGGATGTAACTGGAAGTTACGTTGTTTTCTTCTAATAAGAAATAAGAAGAAGAAAACAGTAGAAGTGAGAACTCTCCAACGAACACAAAAAAAAAGGCAAAAATTCCTCTGATTCTTACTCTCGATCGTTTGTTTATATGCTTGAAGAAAGGAAACCGGAATTCTCTCGAGATTGCAAAAGTGCATTTAATATGTGGAAATCAAAGCTACGTTCCATTGTGTAACATATCTCCCGATCAATGATTCAAGTGTTTCTGGCCATGCTTTCCGCATTTTCTCGTTTATGAAATTTGGATTTAGTATCCTTCATTATTGGAATTAGTTTCCATCATAGTGTAACAAGATCCTTTAACAAAATAGTCGGTAGCGATAATTTATTTTATAGGGAAATGCCAAAAATGTCCGGTCATCACTCATATACCTATTCTTCTATAAATATTATTCACATACTCTAAGCAAAATCCCACTTAGAAAAATATGAATTGCCCCTCCTTAAAAAAATTAATTTCATTATCTTAATGGGTATGAAAATTTTGGGTTTCAAGATGGGGGGCAAATTTGGGAGAAAAATGGCACTTTTGTAAATAGGGGCACAAAAGTAATTGATGTGAATGTGCAAAAATAAGTATGTGTTTGGTACTTTCAAAATTAGAGATACGTAAGTCATTGTTGGTGAAATGTGACGTATGTTTTTGGTATTTTTCCTTATTTTATTTACTTTCTTTTCCTCAATAAATTATCAAAAGTAGAAAAAGAAGGTATAAACTTCTTTTAAAGAAATATTGACTTGCAACAAATTTATAGGAAAAAACATCTTTGTATGTCATCATACGAGAACACTAATAAATTCACACGAGTGCATCTTCAAGGGTATACAGCTAGTTGTTCAATGCATGAAGATGCAGTCTTTCCACTATGCATACCATGTGGCCAATGTAATGGCAAACAGGCTACCTCTAATGAAGAGACATGCATGAACAATAAGCGTCTACACCGGTCGAGACAAGAGCATGCAAAGCAAACAGTCAGACCTCAGCTCCTACATGGTGTTCAACATTATTGTTATTAAACAAAACACCATGCATTTCACACATAAAACACATTATCTATGTTGAATTATTTAGACTTAGATACAAGTAGACAAACTAACCGCAGTCGCTCGAGCACAATTATCGTGGCTAACTCACCATCTATCAGCAACCGACTATAGCTTGTCCAGCTTTGAACCTTCGTAGGAGAATAAACGCACTGCATTTTTGCAGCTGAGCTCCGCAAGATCTTCTGGAGACATGTCTAGCAAGGATGCAACATAATTAAGCACTGCATGAATGTTTGCCGGATGATTCAGAGATTCTGTCGGAGATGTAGATTCACTGCTTCCTGCATCAGCCTGACTTACACTACGAGCATCATCATCGATAACAAATGCGGGATTCTTTGGCACTGCATCCGGGGCATCTGTTTCCAGTAAAATTCTTTGAAAAGGAACTGCTTTCAACATCTTCTTTGCCTTCTGCCCTTTCATGGACATGAGAAATCCCGAGAATGAAAAATAAGCTCCAACTTCGACAAACTGAGGAACCATTTCAGCGGAACCCAAATAAGAGTGGAGGATGACACCAGCAGGAAAAGGCCCTGCCTCTTTCAATATCTGAAGAAGATCGCCGAATGCTCGGACACAATGGATCGATGCCGGTCTATTCAACTCTTTTGCAAGTTCAAGCTGTTTCTGGAACACTTCGACCTGATCGTTGAAATCGATGTTCCTCCCATGAGACCCTTTGTCCAAACCAATCTCTCCCACTGCAGCAGAAGGAGCGGCCTCGAAAAATTGCCTCAACACTTGGAACCAGTTAGGGCTTCTATCGGCGACAAACCAAGGATGGAGTCCAAAGTTTGGAATGGTACAAGGATAGTCGTCGCTCATTTGCTTCACCAAATGCCAGTCTTTCTCATGGGTTCCATTAACCGCAAATTTAACTACACCAGACTGAAGGGCCGACTCAATTAACTTCGGGGCCATATGCCAGACCCTTGGGTCTTGCAAGTGGCAATGGGCGTCAAACACTTTCATAACTCTGTTATCGTATGATCTTGTCCCCCTAGAATAGATGTCTGAGAAGTAAGGACACTGCCAGACCAGGAGTCGACTGGACACTATTTGTAAGGAGATCAATTCAGATTTCTTCGTGTGATATTGTCGGGCATGCTCTGTTAATACACCGCACAATCACGCGTCTGTGTAACCAATGTTTGCTTTCCGGGACTAGCTTTTCGAGCCAACTACAAAGAAGTCACATTTCAGTACAATGAAGCCCCTGACTGCTAAAGAGAGTTAAAAATGATTCGCATCGTCAACAGAAACAGACACAGGCGTGGGCAATTGGAAAAACACTCGCGAGGGACAAGAAAACCAAAAGGTGCTATAAGATCTCCAAATTTGAAAATGGTTATGCTTCTTAGGAATCTATATTCGGGCTTGGCCGATGCTTGGAGCAACGGGACCAAGTGGGGCTCGCATTTTCGCTCCACAAAACTAAGTCTTTTGATGTTGGGTACAAGAGAATGTTTCACATCTTTCTTTTTTATCAGGTGAACACCCCAGCAATATGCCATTTACACAATCAATTTGTCGAACACTTGGTGCGCGAGTCGCGACACGGGAAGCATAGAAACCGTCATCAGCAGCACGACAAGGAATCATCCAAATTAAGCCGAAAGACCGGAAGAAGAACAACAGAAACAATCACGATGGAACCGATAAAAAGATCGAATTGTTTCCGGGATTTTTCCATGGAAGCGAATGACATACCGTTCAGCGCCTGGATGTGAGAGAGACGAAGATGGACGAACCAACGAACGATAGTGATCGAGAGAGAGAGAGAGAGACAATTTGGGAATTGGGATGAAGGAACCGCAAGCCGAATGGACGAGGAGGACGCTTCTTTGATACCCCGACTGGGCCCGCCTAAGTCCAAATTATAGACCACTGGCAACAAATCTCATCCGTCCATTGCGGCTTTTGTGCATTTAGCCATAATAAAAGTACCATAGATTGATTGGTATGATCAAAATAAGATAATTCCATGTGAGGGTGGGATAAAAATGGATAGGATGTGTCTCTCGCTCGTCTCTCTACTCTGTCCCCTCTACCCGCTCATGACTGACACCCACGGCCTCGGTTGCCATCCATAGTCTCCCACCAACTTCGTCTCGTCGCCGCCAGTGAGGCTCGTCGTGGTAACAAGCTTGACTGGATCTCGGCCATAGAGGAGCTCCACGGCTAGATATGGCGCACCAACTGTTGCCCCTTTCCATGGTCGGATAAGCAACAATCGTTGTCCCCTTGTGTCTTAAGCACTTTCGTCGCACGAGCAATCGTAACTTTATCCGTGGCACTTTTGTTTGTTGGGGTTCAACCTTGGCGATACCTGCGAGGATAATTTTGTTTTTGTGCCAATTCAGTGCTAAATCATTTGTCTTTGTATCAATTCAATCATTCCAGCTAATTTTGATCGGATATTACTGACGTGGACCCCAGCTGGCCTACTTGGCATCGTCATCGCTCACGTAAATATTTTTAATAATATTTTTATATTTTTAAAATATTTTTTCTGATTTTTTTTCTTTTTTTCATTTATTCCTTCTTTTCTTTTTTTTCTTTGGGTTAATACAGTGAAAAATCCCAAACTGGTATGTCTGTGACAATTTTACCCAAAACTAATTTTTTAACAGCCAAAAATCCAAAACTGGTACACCTGTGACAAATTTACCCTCAATTTATTTTCGTTAAATTTTATTGTCAAATTGCTTTGTTAAATGACACGAGATAATTCATGGATGTACCAATTTTATGTTTTACCCTCCGTTTGTCACATGCGTACAAGTTCATAATTTTTTGTGGTATTAATTCAATTTAATGGAAACTAATGGAGGGTAAATATATCACAAATGTACCAGTTCAAGATTTTTGTTGGTCGAACAATTAATTTGGGATAAATTTGTTACAGGTGTATCAGTTTGGGGTTTTTCATGGTAAAAAAATTAGTTTTGGATAAAATTGTCATAGGTGTACCAGTTTGGGGTTTTTCGTGGTATTAACCCTTTTTCTTTTCCTTTCTTCTTTTACCTTTGGCCAGTTCTGGCCATCGGCCATGGCCAGCCGCTTGGCCTCGCCAGGGGGAGGTCCTCGTCGCTTGGACGAGGTCTCCGTTGCCTGCCACAAGCAAGGCTCGGTCGACCCTTGCTTGGGCGAGGGCATGCCCTAGCGAGGGCTCCCCTCCCCAAATCTGGCGAGGCCAGCTCTCGCCCAGGCCACGGCAGCTTCGCCGAGCGTCGCCTCCAGATCTGGCCTTGGCGAGGCAAACCCTTGTCAGGCCTTGCTTGCCCTCGCGGGGGCTTGCCCTTGCCCAGGCAAGGGTCGAGCGGGGCTTGCCTGTGGTGGGCGACGGCAGCTAACTAACGGCCAAAGATAGAAGAAGAAAGCAAAACAAAAAAAGAAAAGAAGGAAAATAAAAAATCAGAAAAAATATAAAAAAATCGAAAGAAAAATTAAATTATTATTAAAATTGTCAACGTCAGCGTCAACAATGACATGTAGATCGGCCGGCGTCCACGTTAATAATATCTTCTCAAAATTAGCCGAAATGACTGAATTGGTATAAAGACAAAAGGTTTTGGACTCAATTGGCACAAAAAAAAAGTTTAGGACTAAATTGACATTAATGAAAAAGGTTTTAAGGCTTTTCTGACACTTATCCAAAAAAAAGTTTAGGACTAAATTGACATTAATGAAAAAGGTTTAAGGCTTTTCTGACACTTATCCCACATGGAGCGAGTAACAACTAACAAAGAAAGGCCTGAGCAGTGCCGATAAGAAAGCTTTGCCTGTTCGGGCACGGCCTACGGCCGGGACTCTCCTTCGAATTCTCCAGGTTTTGATTTGGAAGCTTCGTTAATGGCGATGAGCTCTGGTTAGTGAGTATGTGGACGGTGATAGGATTTTGCATTCGATGTCAGGTTCTGAAAGACGGATAGGTTGGGGCGAACTGTATAGCGGACTCAAGCCTTCTTTCTTTGGCATCGCGGCTTCACAGGTAGGTACGTACAGAGCGAGCTTCCCTTGCATTATCACGAAAACCCGACCCGACCCGACCCTTCACACCTCTAAAAACCCAGCCCATCGCGAAAGCCCAACTACTTCCGGATCCGGGTCCGAGAACCCGACTATATTTATCCTCACTTCTTCTCAAAACCCTAAAACCCCCCAATTCGCGCCTCTCTCTTCTTCTTCCTTCTCCTCCTCTGTTCGGCGCCGACCGTGACCGTGCTTCCATCGGAAATCCGCAGAGCGGAGCTCCTCGGAGGGAAGATTCGCCATGGATTCCCTGCAATCCCCCGCCTCCATGGACGTGGAGGCCGCTCCGGCGGAGCCGAGCTTGCCGGCGAAGCCCCTGTTCGCGCCGCTGAAGGCGCACGAGATGTCCGACGGGCGGGTCCAGTTCCGCAAGGTCTCCGTCCCGCCGCACCGCTACTCGCCGCTGAAGAAGTCGTGGATGGACATCTACACCCCGGTCCACGAGCACATGAGGGTCGACATCCGCATGAACCTCAAGGCCCGCAAGGTCGAGCTCAAGACGAGGCACGACACCCCCGACGTCAGCAACCTCCAGAGGTGCGCCGACTTCGTGCAGGCCTTCATGCTCGGGTTCGACGTCCCGGACGCCGTCGCGCTGCTGCGGCTGGACGAGCTCTACGTGGAGTCCTTCGAGATCAAGGACGTGAAGACCCTGCGGGGCGAGCACCTGTCGCGCGCGATCGGGAGGCTGTCGGGCAAAGGGGGCAAGACGAAGTTCGCCATCGAGAACGCGACGAAGACGAGGATTGTGATCGCGGATTCGAAGATCCACATATTGGGTTCTTTTGCCAACATCAAGATCGCTAGGGATTCGCTCTGCAGCTTGATTCTGGGTTCGCCCGCCGGTAAGGTGTACTCGAAGCTCCGAGCAGTGAGTGCAAGACTTGCTGAGAGATTTTGAAAGTTGGGATTTTTTTTTCTTTTTGAGCTTCTGATTGATGATGCTATTCGTGGATGAGATTAGTCAAATTTTGTTACAGAAATCCCAGAGATGGAGAGTGTGTAATCTATTGCCAAGAGAAAGCGTTATGAGATCATTATGTTTCTCTTATGTCTTCTGTGCTTTCATGGCACTACTCATACTGCATACGTAGATGCATCGAATTCCACCATTGTCTGCATGTTCGTGGCCTGTTTGTCTGATTGAAAGGTGTCAATTTTCAGGGATGAAATCTTTATGCTTGCTGCGTCGTCAATAGTTCTGGTCTTCGTAAGAGCGCTAGGAGCTAGCTGACACAGGCACTGAAAGCTCAGTTAGCATTTGTGGGTTACATACTTGTTAATCTATGTCGCTCGCGATGGTTTAAGGAGAAGGATGATCTAGGACTAGGTTTCACCTCATTGCTTTGCTTTGCTAACATGTCAGCCTGCTTAATGCTGGAGATGCATTTGCTTATTACTACTCTGATTATCGTGCGGATGGACCAGTTAGATTTTGCTTATTGTTTGCACATAGCGTTGTTGCCTTGAATTCGCATCATATCTGCCCCATCTTCTTTGGTCAAAACTGACTCATACGGTCGAGAAGATTTGCTTAACCATGAAAAATGCCGAAGCTCGGAGTTGCATCTCCACAGTCCTTTGGTTCAGCATTGCTCCGATTCCTGGATCGCCGCTGCGGAGCAACTGGAATAAGACCCGTCTTCGAACATTCACGCCCCTAGGTAACTATCCAACGCATGGCACCGAGAAGCCATTCAGTCTTTTTAAACTCTTCGGTTGCCTGTCCATCGGAGACCATCAATCACACAGATCCAATGTATTTAGATAACACCAGTGGTGCATAATCTGTGACAAAGAGAGTGAGGATGGGGGAGGGGCTGTTCAGCGGCAGGCAGTAAAGGCAGAAGCAACGTTTGGTCGACTGGTATAAAAATAAGGAAGACTCGCCAAAGGCGACGAAACAAAGGTAACAAAGATCATAATGACCTCTCTCACAATTAAATGTGTTCATTACTTAAAAAGAATGTGTTAATGACCAAAGGATCAGATTGTTGCGCCAGAAAAATGTTCAAAGATCTGATTGCCAAAAACAGTTGATAGGAAAAATAAACCTGATTGCACTAAATGGAACTTCTCTTCGTCTTGTTCAACCAGAGTTGTGCACGAGGCAATGGAAAAATAATCATTTTAGGGTCCAGAAATTTAGAATTGTCAAACCGTTTGACGGGTTCTTCAGTTGAAGGATTCTGTTTGATAAAAATATATATACTTTTAAGTGGTTATCAAGCACTGTGCGAAGCACAGATCAACTGAGCAGGTTGCAAGCAATCACCTTGTCATATCGGGTGTGGGAGGCTACTATCCACTATATCAGGGAGTTTATTTCCTTATCTCTCATTGGTCCTTTTAAGAATATGCTCAGGTCCAAGAGTAAAGCCCTATGTTATGTCATCTAGAAATTTAGAGTTGTCAAACCGTTTGACGGGTTCTTGAACGATTCTGTTTGATAAAAATATATATACTTTTAGGTGGAAAAATTCAATTAATTCTCTATATTTAACCTTAGAATGGACCATATAGAGCTAAAATATGGGATTTGTCATAGACAATATATTATGGGGATCATATAATATTTAAGGAAAAAATCGATAGGAAAGTTCTCTTCCTATATATTTTTTGGGTTCGAAGTTCTCTTCCTAAATCACAAGCTTATAATGTGTTCAGTATAATACCGAAGTAATGTTTCTGTATTTTCCTATATAATGATATAAATGCACAAAAACCAAGCATGACTTATGTGTTGAAGCTATGCATGGGACGATTTTATGGAGGTACTAATGGGTTACAAATTTCATCCCGTAACACCTAAAATCTCAACTCAGATGAATGAGAATATATAAAAAAAAAGGAGTAAATATTCACTCAGAATTAAAGAGCACCAATTTGATTTTTGATTAAGGTATATCAAGCCGGATCGTTACAAATTCCGTCGGAGCATTTCACAAATTGAAAGTGTCAGTTTACATCTGCCTATTTATAGGCTTTATGAGATGATTATTTAAGGTAAAATATATTAATCAAGATTAAGAAAGATATCCGTGCAATTTTGATAGATATAGATAGTCAACAATCTTATCATAAAAGTCTCTAACATAAGAAAATCTTAAGAATCTCTAATATAATATCACTGAGAAATTAACAATGGAAATTTACACTTTTACACGTACAACATAGATTAAATAATTCTTTATCACAATTTTTTTTATTGTAACTCGTTACTGTAACTCCATTCTTACAAAAAAAAAGTATTTCTGTTAGTCTTTTCATCACTCAAATTTTCATTGTCACCTCGCTCCATTACGGTAGTTTGGGTAAGCAAGAGTTATTAACTACAGAATGGGTCTATTATTCACCCCAAAAGTGGTTTAACCAAGTAAGGGCCCGTTTGGTTCGGCTTTGGGGGAATGCCTTCGGCAAAATGCAAAGGCAGATTTTCCGAAATGCAAGTAGTGTTTGGTAATGTGTATTTTAAAATCACATTTGAAAGCAACTTTGGCCTAAATACCGTTTGCTAAAAATTGTTTGTAAAAGACTTTTGCTAATATTTAAAAAAAAAAAAAAAGCCGGCCAACCGACCACCACCGTCGGCCACCACCGTCGACTAGATCTGGTCGCCAGCCAACCGCTGACGGTCAAATTTGGTTGCCGGCCAGATTTGGTTGTCGACTAACCCCCGACGGCCAGATTTGGTCGCCAGCCAGCCTCGCCTGACCTCAGGCGAGGTGACCTGAGGTCGTGCGACCTCAGGTGAGTCGGCCTGAGGTCGCACGACCCAGGCAATAGGTCCGGCGACCCCAGGCGGCGGTCGTCGGACCAGCTATTTGGGAAGATAATGAACAGTGTGCGATTGCATTCTAAAAATGCAACTTTCCAAGGCTCCTCATGGGCTGCATTCAGCCAAAGGCCCTTTTCAAGCTTTGGAGATGCGATTGCATCTCCTCAAAGCTTGCCAAAATATTTGCCAAACAACTTTGCATTTGCTCAAAGGACTTGATGTAGAACAGTTAGTCTGTGATTATCTTGAACAATGTGATCGCCGTAATCACCGGAAATCTCGGCAGTTTTTCTGATTTTGGGGAAAACAATCATTCAGACAATTTTCTATATTATCATTTAGGCAGTTTCCTATATTATCATTCAGGCAGTTTCCTATATTACCATTCGGTAGTTTCCTATATTACCATTCAGGCAGTTTGTTGTGCCTCGGACTCATCCAGGTTATTGCGAGCGGAGAGTTGAAGGAACTCTTCCGTATAAGCTTGGACCGATCTATTCGATTGTCGGCAATTCTGGAATTTCTGAAATAACAGTTGCTCATAGTCCGTTGGGAGGAACCTCTTCTTCAACTTCTGTTTCATCTAACCCCATGATCGAATAGGAGCCTTGCCTTGTCGACGTTGCATCAATTGAGTCTGTTCCCATCAAGCTGAAGCGCCACCCTTCAAATTGTACGCCACAAGTTTCACTTGGCGATCCTCATCAATATCCATAGCGTCGAAGAATTTCTCGACCTCCCAAAGCTAGTCAAGGAAATCTTCAATATCCAAATTCCCATTGAAAGTAGGGAGATCTACCTTTAGTTGATACTGCTTAGGATCTCGTCGATATCCTCCCTGACGTCGATTCCCACGAACATGCTCCTCCTGGAATCCCCTGTATCGGCGACCACCACGAATCTGCATCTCCTGGAAATCATCGTCTTCGTCTTCCGTATCCTCGACATAGTCTTGACGCCTATGTCGGGGAATTCCTCCACACCCCATAGCATCTTCGGGATCACGAACGATAGGAATTCGCTCGGCTGGAAGAACGCCAGGCGCATGGTTTGTGGACAAACGCTGGATGGCATCAAGGATCTCTTGAAACCTCCGATCGGTTTGATCCACGAACTGATTGAACTCAGCCCGCGTAATAGGCTCGTTCTCACGGCCCTCAGCAACGGGGAGATTGACATTCACGTTATTCACCATCGTCACAGGAGAAACCTGCTCTGATACCAAATGATGCAGAGATAGGACTCCTAATACTAATGGAAACCGAATAATTAAAGATAACATCTAATAAACTAATATAGGAAACTGCCTGAGTGGTAATATAGGAAACTGCCTGAATGGTAATATAGGAAACTGCCTGACTGGTAATATAGGAAACTGCATAAATGATAATATAGGAAACTGCCTAAATGATAATATAGGAAATTGCCTGAATGGTTGTTTTCCCCAAAATCAGAAAAACTGCCGAGATTTCCGGTGATTACGGCGATCACATTGTTCAAGATAATCACAGGCTAACTGTTCTACATCAGGACTTTAGAGTCCTAAAGCAACATTCAAATGCTAAACCAAACATGCCCTAAATTGTTTTTCCGTCTTCCACCCTTCTCTTTCTTTCTTTTATAAATTATTGTCACTATCGATCCCGCTATTTTCACTCGAAAATCAAAACTGCCCCTATGCTTTATTTTTTGTTTTAAAATTAAAACCTTCCCTGTACTTTTTACGAAGTACCATTGATCATCCCTATGTCGATCGGACGATGAAATTTTGCTGAGAACACAGTTAATTATATTCTGACATGGACCATTTTCTATTTTTATTAATCGACATTGGGAAATTTTAGAGTATAGTAGTTACGGTTTATCTAAATATTTCGTAGCGAGTACAGTAGCTTGTGGTAACTCCTAGAGAGACGCTAGTCATGATGCCTTTCTCCATCTTTCTTTTAGAAATAATGTCGTGGTCTCCGTACTTTTTGCTCGAAAATCAAAATTGTTTCCTACAATTTTTTTAGCTAAAATCCTTCCCTATACGTTTTAAAATGTGCCATTGTCATCCCTATGTAGATTCGGCAATAGAATTTGCTAACGTAACGTTTAACACACTTGACTATATTCCGAAGTGGATTGTTTTTCTTTTTATTCGTCAATGTGAATTTTTTTCCTTTTTGTTTTCAATGTTGACTCTCTTTTCTTCTTCTTCTTCAATCCCGACCAAATCAAAAACTCACAAAACTTTAACCCATGACAATGCAAACTATGATTTGTACTCA